TTGTGCACATGCATATGGTATGTGTATGTGTGAACACATGAATGATGTATGTATGTACAGGTGTGTATAACCCATGTGTGTGTGTGGAGGCCAGAGGAGGTTGGGTGTCCTGCTCTGCCACTCTTTGCCTTATTCCCTTGAGACAGCATCCCTCACTGAACCTGGAGCTGGGCTGGCAAGACTCAGTGATCCCCCTGTCTCCATCTCTCATAATGCTGGAGTTAGAGGTGGGTGTGTGGGTGCACCCCGCTCTTTCCATGGACACTGGGGATTTGAACTCAGATCCTCATGTTTGAAGAGCAAATGCTCTTACCCATTGAGCCATCTCCCAAGCCCTCACGGCTTTGAAGATGACAGTAAACCGAGCAGAGTCCTCTCCACCCCTCTCTGGGACCCGCCCCCTTTTCATCCTTCTCTGCAGACGCCAGACAGCCTGGGACAGAGTACAGGCTCCGTCCTTCTGTATCTCTGTGACCTTGGATGAGACACTTGGCTTCTGAAACCTTAATTCTTCATCTGCAACATAGGGACAGTGGAAATGCGACAGCCCAGCTGCTGCGAGGATTCACCGAACATCTGAAGGGCAAGCAGCTCACGCTCAGCACACGGCAAGTGCTCCGTCCTTGCGGGCTTTCCTTCCTTCCTACTCCTCTTAGAATTCGAATAGCTTCCAACCTTGGAGGATCAGGGCTTTGAAAAGCAGAGTTGGGAGGTCCCCTGCTGTGTACTGGCAGAAGAGGGTCATCCTCAAGGGGACTGGCCTGTCTGGGAAGCAGAGTCAGGCCATGAGATCTAGCTGACCTGCCATCTGGAAGCTGTCCCTCCACACCCAACCATGGAGACAGGGTGTGCAATTTTTATTAAGAAAACTAGCTCACTTCAAATACATTCACATCCAATGCTGGTAAATGCCCAGAAAGATAGTTCGATAGGATATTGGTTCAGATGGGACAACTCTGGTGTTCATTTTAGAAGCTTCCACATGTCTTATTCTCAGTGTGTCAGCCAGTATGTCGTCGGTGGTCCCGCGATTGACACTGACCTGAGCTGTCCATTGTCATGTGTCCATCAGCTATCTAGTCTAACATCCTTTAGGTTGTAAGGTCACTTTTAATGTCACAATCACTCCCGAGAGTCTTGTTATCTAAGGTCCCACTCCTTCCTTGGATAGTATTTAGCAATAACAGCTACCTATTATGTAGAATAAATTCTGAGTCAGGCTCTGGCCAAAGCATCTGTAGAGTTACCTTGATTTTTGTTGTTGTTGAGATGGTCATAAGTAGCCTTGGTAGACCTAAAATTTAGCATGTCATCAAGCGTGACCTGTACCCCTGATATTCCTGTCTGGACGCGTGAGTCCCGGGACTACAGGTGTGTGTTGCTGCACCTGGCTCTCCTTTCAGGGTTTCGTCAAAGCCTTGCTGGGGGACACACAGCATGCAGGCTGGACCCCATCACAGGACTCTCTGGCTCTCCCATCCCAGTGTCCTTCTGCTTGTATGTGTTCATGCCTTTGGGTTCCAGGGAACAGCAGACTTTGACAAACTCACGGCATAGTCTCCTGAATCAGCCTGTTGGACATTTTCCGCAGGATGTCACATCTCATGGGAAAAGGAGGAGTCCTTTGTGCTTCAGTGACCAGTGTGACTCAGAGTCAAAGCTGTGACAGACTGTACCGTGCAGATGGAGGCCACTGTCAGTGCCACTATCCAGAGACTCACTGGCGGGTGTATGCAGACAGACACCTGCTTATCAGGGAGGCCCTGGCCCTGAACCTCCAACACACTGGCTTGCAGCTCAGCTCACATCAGCCCTAATGCCCACCCTCTCGTGTCAGTCACTGCAGAGATAAACGATTTTTGGTTACCGATCGGATCTCTATTCTTGAGAGAGTTGTCAAATCAGGCTTTGCGTCTAATAGTATTTTCTGTACATTTTTTTCCATTCTCAGAGTCTTTAGTTCTAGGAACGATTCATTCGCATGGTCCTTATGATCTACAAAAGAAATGATTTAGACTCAGGAAGACATCATTGCATAGCATCGCTGTAGCTATGGCTTACGGGACAACTCACCACACGACTGTTTTTAATCCTCGCCACCTCTCTGGCAGATGAGGAAACCAAGGCCTAGAGAAATTAAATGATTTGCCCAAGGCCACACACTGAGTATGAGGCTTTGGCCCCCAAGCTGTCACTGCAGAGGTGAACGTCACCTAAGGCCTTTCAGGTGCAGAGATGAGGATGGGATTTGTACTGGGACACCCGGTGCTCAGTGCCTTGCTTGGCCACCAGCTGCCCAGTCGGAGCCAATGCCAGCCTTTCTGAATGAGGCATCTAAGAGGCACCCCGGGGCTCAAATTCAGGTAGCTTTAGACTATGACAAAGTTCCCACCAGGCCACAGTGAAATAAGGAGGAGGACGACAGTGAGCTTTTCGTGTCCTATTTATTTAACATCAGGGCCTGCACTTGACTCTGAGGCGGGGCCTGGCCCATCACTGTTAGTGTAATCCAGGCTCTGGGGGCCCCCAAGCTGGGACTAAGGAGCAGAGAACTTACTGGAGGAGTTGGCCTTCTCCAGTTCTTTGATTCGTATCCGGAGTTCCGACAAGGCCTTTCTCTGCCGCTGGATGACTTCCTCGTGTCGAGACCCTTTGCACTTGGCCCCCAGGTCACTGAAGATCTGCTCCTGGAGACAGGGTGGTACAGACAGCAGCTCCATAAGGTATTTCCCTCAGATTCCCGGGGACGTGAACAATTCCTGTTCAGTGGGAACCCTGCCACTCAGCACTTCTGGAAAATGCCACGAGAGCTTCGGCAGGGAAGGGATTTACATTTTTCATCGCAAATATCAAGTCCCGTGTAGGAGGGTTTCTGACTCCTCTTCCTGATTAGTGGTACTATGAATAAAAACCCCCCAAACTCCGTCTCTGCAGCCCTTATTTCTTCTTCTAATGCTTTCATGCCTGTGGCTTTTTTTTTTTAATTTTGAGACAGAGTCTCTCTACATAGCACTGGCTATCCTGGAACTTACAAAGTCGACCAGGCTAGCCTTGAGCTCAGAGCTCTACCAGCCTCCTGAATGCTGGGATTAAAGATGTGTGTCACCTCATCCAGCTTTGCGTCTCTGTTTGTTAAAAATATGATCTTGTTCTGAATAGTAACTTCCCCCCCTCCTGAGACAGGGTTTCTTTGTGTATCTCTGGCTGTCCTTGAACTTACTATGTAGACCAGGCTGGCCTCAAACTTACAGAGATCCACCTGCCTCTGCCTCTCTGAGTGCTGGGATTAAAGGCGTGCGCCCGAATAGTAACTTTTTAAAGAGAATTATTTTTAATACTTTTAAAATTGTGTGTGTGGTGTGTGTGTATGTGTGTGTGTGTGTGTGTAACAAGGATGGTTTTCTCCTGTCTGCTTGGGGGTACTGGACAGCCTGGACTTGGCTGGTCTGGAGAGACCTGTCTCTGAGACTCCAGGATCTCTAGATCCTGTGGCAGGTACAACAGAACGTTCTATAACAACAGAACGTTCCATGCCTGCCTCACGCAGTATGGTAGCTGCTGGCCTCACGTGGGTCCCATGGGACCGGTAGAGACTAGACTGAGGCTTCCTCAGGGCACAGTCAAGGAAGGTCATTGAAGGTCATGCTCCGAGGCTGAGCACCCCAGTAAGGCAGAGTGCTTATTGAACGTACACAAAACCCAGAGCTCCATCCCCAGCACTGTATAGACTGGGTGAAGCGACACTCGCCCGTGATCCCAGTAGTCCTTCCTGGCTACAGAGTGAGTTCGAGGCCAGGCTGGGTTACCCGAGACCCTGACTCTGTTCTCCAGTGGATCATTCCTTCACTCCATGCACACCTCAGGCTGCTAGGCTCGCGCCAGGCTCTGCGGCTCCGTCAGTGAGTGGCACTAGCAGGTCTCCGCTGTCCTGGGTTTTGTACCCCAGGATGAGGGGACAGACAGTGTGAGGGGGAGTACATAGGGAAGACATAGTGGGCATGGACAATTGATAAGCAGATAATTAAGTGGGGGGGGGCTGGGATGGGGTGCTGAGAGCGGATTTCTGTTGTTTGACAGTTGCTAGGGGGAGGCCTCAGCCAAACTGGCAAGAAAGGGAAAAAAAACAACGATCTCTTTTTTATAACTATTTTTAAAATAGCAACTTTTGGTTCATTTTAGATTACAGAGATAGATACCGAAGACAAACATATAGCATGAGGTGAACTGAAATTATGAAAATTTTATATAGCTAGGCATCTCTGTCTCTATTCCTTTTTTTTTAAAAAGGGTTTTTCCTTTTTAAATTTTCCTTTGAGACAGGATCTCACATAGCCCAGGTTGCCCTCAAACTGTCTATGTAGCCATATGCATACATATGTACATGGTTCTATGTATGACCTTGAACTCCTGACCCTCTTATCTCCGCCTCCTGAGTGCTGGGATTTCAGGCCTGTGCCGCTGTGCTCAGTTTGTGTGGTACTAAGGGGTGAGCACAAGGCTTTGTGTGCCCCACAAGCACCCTACCAACTGAGCTACACACCCAGCCCTGTCTCTGTTTGTAGATGTATACGCATGTGTCTATCAATCCATCACCAGCTACCCAGATTCTCATTCATATTCATTGCCCTCCCTCCCCTTCCCCTGTGCTAGATGCTATTCCAGGCACCTCCATCAAAGATGAGCCCTCCCATGGATCTGAACTCTGTGCACCAGACGAATGATGCACGGTTCAGCATTGCACACACCCTAGCATCAGCGAGAGACACCCACAGACAGAGCAGAGGCCAGGGAAAGAGAAGCATTTGCTCTTCCTCTGCTGACTCTCGTTGCTTCCTTAAGGCCAAGAGGATGATGAGTCCCAGGCTCCCTGCTAGTTACATTGTCTCCGTGTGTGTGTGTGTGTGTGTGTGTGTGTGTGTGTGTGTGTGTGTGTAGGGGGGTTTCAAGGCCCACAGCCTCCTTTAAGGGGCTCCCCTCCCCTTGACATTTCTGACACTCACACTGTTTCTTCCTTTTGGCTCTGCTCTAAATTTCCCCCTGTGGGGGCCTCTCACCACCAGCTCTGAGAGAACCTGTTTCTTATGATGCTCGCATTTATTGTTCTGGTCAGGGTTTTTGTTTTGTTTTGTTTTTGTCACCGGGCCTCACTGGGAAGAGGGAACTTCAGTTGAGAAAATGTCTCTATCAGATTGGGCAGATTGATGTGGGAGGACTCAGTCCATTGTGGGTAGCGCTACCCCTGGGCAGGTGGTCGCGGGCTGTATAAGAAAGCAGGGGGATGGGCTGGAGAGATGGCTCAGCAGTTAAGAGCACCAGCTGCTCTTCCAGAGGACCTGAGTTTAATTCCCAGCACCCACATGGCAGCTCCCAGCTGTCTGCAACTCCTGTTTCAGGGGGATTTGATGCACTCATACGGACATAACCTGCAGGCAAAACACCAATGTCCATAAAATAAAAATAAATAAATAAAAAATTAAAGAAAGCAGGGTGAGCGAGCCAGGAAAAGCAAGCCAGTAAACAGCACTCCTCCATGGCCTCAGCTTCACTCCCAGCCCCCAGGGTCCTGCCTTGAGTGTGTGCCCTGACTTCCTCCCGCAATGAACTGTAAGCTGGAAGATAATGAGCCCTTTCCTCCCTAAGCTGTTTTTGGTCGGAGTCTTTATCATTTCGAGAGGGAACTAACTAGTACTGTCTCAAGTCCTGCCCTAAGGGCTCCTTAAGCTGCTTGTCCCGCCCCCATCCCTAGGATGGTTTGCTACTTTCTTGCTGTTTCCTCCCTTCCCACACACAGGCTCCAGGAGGGCAAAGCACGCCTCCCTCTCATGGAGACCATGGTCCTCCCTGGCCTGAGCATGCGCTGACAGTGGGCACAGTCTGGAAGGAGTGAGCCACCTTCCCCAGCTTCTGATAGTGCTGGGACTGCCGGGTGGGTGAGGGGACCTAACTGGTCTGGTGTATTGCTCCAAAGCTGTACCACCTCAGGGCTTGGTTCTGCATGGGTCTCAATTATCTGCCTGAGGGTATCTATTTCCCCTGGAATGAGTCACCTGTAGGCTCCCTCCTTCTGGACAGAAGCGGGAGATGCTGCATTGGGGCCGAAGGAAAGGCTCAGCAGCCAGGCCAGACTCCCCTAGGCTTCCACGCGCTGGGAGAGGAAGCACCATCACCATATGACCTCTCCTCAGGCTCCTCTGGGAACTCTCTTACTGAGAGAGGACACGGATTTTTTCTCACACAACTCTTGAGCCCTCTGACCCTCTCTGGCTTCGGAAACAGGAAGTAGCCTGGGCGAGGACCCCTGTTCCAAGAAGGGATGCTTTTTTGCCTTTGATCTTGCATCCTCCCTCTCCCATTAACCTCAGCTTGAAGACAGACACTAAAAGTCACCATTCAACAGGTCTCCTCACGGAACACATGTGGGGCGTGTGTGTGTGTGTGTCGGGGGGGTGATTATGTGTAGGGCACCTGTGAACCTTTTCCTGTCTAGCACAAGGCCTGATTTACGGCAAGTGCTCAGTAGTAGCCGTGGGTCAGAACCTGCTTCTAGGGCTCAGGATTCCGATGGGAGTGATGGATATTTTCTGCCGCCCAGCTGAGTTTCCAGCCACCTGGGCCATTGCACTTCTCCTCCTGGTTGCCCTGAGCAACCGGAGCCCCTTTCTATTAAAGTGCTCTGAAGGGCACTCAGTGCCAGGGACAGCTGGCTGGACCTCAAACGCTTTCATCCTGACTGCCTGAAGCCTGGGCTCGCTGCTGTCTGGCAGGGGAAATGTCTTTGTTGACATATTTGGCCTTGTTTCTTTGGCAGATGACTCATTCTCTGGTTTCTCAAAGTGGAAAGAAAAGGTTGTTCTGGACTGGACTCTAGGAATCGGAAGCCTCGAGGAACCACTGCGCCCCACAGTCAGCCCACTAGGAACGATGGAGAATGCGACGGCACCAGGCGTGGGGCAGAGTGTGAGCATCAGCTTCGGGGACCATCTGATGGAGGCTGTTCTCACTTAGACATGCTTCCCATTGGATGAGCATCTGGGACTCCTGGGCAGTCACAGAGGGAGACCTTATCAAGGGACTGTCATGGAATGTGTGTGGGGGCTGTATGCGGGTCACATACTGCACGGTTCTCTGGGAAGGTCATTTGGTTCTGTGCCACACAGTTGAGGAAGCCCCTTGGCCCCAGCAGGTTCACAGCCAGGCGTGAGTTCTACATAGGGGCAACTTATTCTAACTACAGCACCAGCTTGAGGGAGACACAGCTGAACTCTCCATCATCCGGGGACTGAGTGGAAAAAAACTGACACAAAATGGAATTCCAAGCAGCCACTTAAACAAACGATGCAGACTTTTACAGACTTGGCTGAGGAGAGGCCATCAAACAATGTCTGCGAGCAGGGGAGATGGCTTACTGGGAAGCATTGGGGAACTGAGTTCAGGTACCCAGCACCCATTTAAAGAGCTAAGCATGGCTGCATGCACTTGTAACCCCAAAGCTGATGGGGACGGTGGGGGGGGGGTTACGGAAATAGGAGAACACCATGGTTTGCTTACCAGCCCTGCAGGAAAAATAAAATGGTACACACCCCGGCAAGGGACCCTATCTCAGGGTGATAAGACAGTTTGGGCCAGATAGCTTACAGCTAGTGTCCTCCTTCGGTATCTGCATGTGCATATCACACGCGCACACACACACACATGAGCGAGAGGAACAAATTGAAGAATTAACAGAAATTTTTCTACCAGATGTGTTTGTGGGTGTGCACAAATAAAACGTATTCCAACCACCCTTTGAAGTGGGACGCTTATTCTCAAAGGTGAGAACTGGGGTGCTGAGATTTCCCCACGGGCACAGACTTTCTATGCATGGAGGGGTTGGCATTCAAGCCCAGGCCCAACTTGCTCCAAGGCGGATAGCCGACCACTACTCAACCACTACTACAGTTCGAGATTGTAGGAAGACCTGGCGGCTTCAGAAGAGAGAGCTGCTGGCCCTGTCTCCGTTGTTGATAGTGTAACCATGGAGACTGTGACCATGGGGCAGCACTCTGTCTGACTTTGCCATTCCATGTGAATGAGCACTACTTTTAGGAGCCATTAACCCTTGGGCCTTTGGTTGTCGCCAACCCAGTCCTGCCTGAAGCCCCAGCTCCAGACACTGACCTCTTGGAGACTGGAGAATGTATCCTGGTGCACTGGTTCTATCTGCAGGGAGATGTCACACTTGGGGGTTGGATTCCTCGGCTTCTGCTCCGTGCTCAGGAGGGGTCTGTGGGAAGCCCTGGGGTAGAGAGGGACATCGCGGGTGTCAGAAAACTCGGGGACCTTTGCATCCCTCCGTGATCTGGAGGTAAAAGCTATTTTCATAGGTGACTGAATTCTTTCAGACTTCCTGCATTTAAGCTGAGCCCTGCCGCCCGGGAGAACACCCGGTCCAGCACACAGCACAGCCCTGTTTTAGTTAATGGGTCTCTGAAGCAACGAAACACCACCACTCCTTCACCCATCCGATTCTACCACAGTCTGCCGAGCCCTCTCTCTGTGCCAGGCGCCTTGGGGTGGTCATGCCACAGGGGCCCTTCCCACACCTGAGCGCCTCCCTGAGGACCTTCAGTTCCCTGTCTTTCTTCTCCACCAGGCCGCTTGTCTGCGCCACCTTCACTTTGAGCATGCTCAGCTCGTTGTTCTGCTGCTGCACCAGGGCCACGTGTCGCTCCAGCTCCATCTTCTGCTTCTCACTTAGCTCCCCTGTGATGACAGATGTGGAGTGGTGAGCCATTTTCCACCTCTGATCTCTGTCCTGGCCTATCTGACAGCCCTATGGGATGGATCCGTGAGGCAGATCTGCCCCAGGGTTCTTGGGGGCTCGGGTGCCGCCTAGGAGCTCTGCCAGAGCCTCAGCATGGGATGTTGGGTGGCGCAGGAAGCCCCCTGCTTTTGCCTCACTCTAGTATTACACCGGCAGCCGCTGTGAGGGCCCTGACCATGTCCCCCTGATCTTTTAGGGCATTCTGGCCAGTGTTCAGCTACCTACTTCTGAGGCTTTTTATTTATTCTTTTGTTTTCAGACAGGGTCTTATCTATCCCAGGCTGGTCTCCAGCTCTTTATATAGTCAACAATGACCTTAAACTTTTAATCTTCCCAACTCCACCTCCTCAGTGCTGGGGTCACAGGCATGTGACACCAACCTCACTGTCATTTAGAGCTGGGACTTGAACATGGAGCCTCCTGGAGGATCCACACACCCAGCTGCCTCTGTATCTTTTTGCCCAGGGGTCTTCTCGGCCCCTGGAATCTTCTGGGCTACGTGCCTGCCAGGTACAACAGTGTTCCATCCGCAGCTGGCACAGACAGCTGTCCCTGCTCCTAGCTCTCTCTGGCTGAATTAGTTCCGGGTACCTCGGTGCCCCCCTGATGGACAGGCTGCTGCACTTCATTTTCTTTTCCTCTGGCTCACGCTCTGTTTCACTGCTGGCATTTACTGGGGTTATGTAGTGGAGTTCCAGTCTTAGGGTCCGCTGCTGGGAGAACCCACACTAAAACTTTTGCATGGCCTTAAATCTTCCATGGTAGGTTACTGGTGGCACCCTCATTTCACAGGTTCAGACACTGAGCCTTAGAGAGAGAGAGTCTTGTTTAAAGTTGAGGACCTAATGGTGATCAGGTTCTGGACTTGGGTTCTGACTCACTGTATCTTGTGTTATTACTCTCCTTCCTATTGGAAAGCCATGGGAATGGTCTCAGGGAGCAAATAGGCCTGACGGTTGGGGGATGCCAGAGGCTGGTGATGGGAGAGACAGTCTACTCTCCTCTCTCCCTCCATCCCTTCTTCTCTCTCTTTTCCCACCTTCCGCTCCTGGAATCTAGTTTTGCTACCTCTTGACTCCTATCTGCCTGGACTTTTTGTCCTGCCAGAGGCTGGGGATGGGGAGGAGAAGGAGGCCCTGAGAAGCAAGAGGAAGGAAGGAGAAACGTAAGGAGTGGGAGGGACTGAGCCAGGCTGTGTGTCCATGCAGGAGGGTGTGAGACACCTGGCTTTCTCTCCCTTACCTGTTGTGGAAATTCATTCCACCAATAGCTTTGGGGTGTTGGCTTTAGGGCGTGGCTTTTTGTCTGTAAGAGATCACACCTGAAGACAAGAAGCCACCCTTTAAAGCCGGCATGCTAAAACTATTGGTAGAATGGATTTCTACAACACCTACCTTGGATTGGTGGCCTATGAGGAAGGAGGTGTGTGATCTTTTTGCATGATGAATAGAAGGCTTGTAAGGTCCCTTCATATTGCACCCAGGCTCCTGCAAAGGGCCCAGTCCCAGTGTGGGGCAGGGCGGGGCAGGGGACCCTCACTACTGCCCTCCCAGGGGTTAAGAATGCTTCACAGTTAAAGACAATATTGACGCTCAAGGTCCACCGAGTGTGTGTGGTTTCCCGGGTGACAGGGGCTGCAGGCACGCAGGAAAGGAGGTCCAGGAGAGGCTTTGAGACCAAGGCTGCTAACTTTGCCTTCACTTCCTTCCTGAGAGGGTCAGGGTGTCGGGTGACCCAGGAACTCATACCTACCTCTCAGATCTGACATGCGGCCATGGGCTTCAGTGAGATCTGTCCTCAGCCTCATGATGATCTCCTGCTGAGACAGGATTTCCTTCTGAGCAGTCAGTAAGTCATCTCTGCAATTAAACAACAACAACAATAAGAGTCAGCTGCGTTCACGTCCCTGGCGACTCCCGATGGCGTCTGGAAAGGAGAACCCAGAGAAAAGGTTCAAAATGCCCAGGGATGGACCTTAGGACCCCAGCCCAGCCAGGGGACAGGCAGCCTTTAAATACGTAAAAAGAACACCATCTTGATGCACTTAACATACTTTGAGAAAGAACCAAGGGTCAGGTTGGGCTGGGTGGAGGTCCACTGTGGGGTCCTGCATGGGACCTGTCAACACTGATTGACAGGCCAGTTGGTTTTGTGGAAAGAGGGTGGAAGACCATGGGGGCGGTGTTCAGGACTTCCATGAGAATGGGGAGAAGAGGGGGAGACAATGAGGGCTTTCTGTTTGTTCACTGGCATGCTGGGCTCCTGGGCACTGGGGATGGGGCAAGGAAGGAGATGCCAGAATGGTAAGAGGATACATGGTGCGGTTGACACCACGAGAGTTGCTGTTCTCACTGGAGGGCTGTTCCACAGGACAGGCCCTCGTTAGGGACCGCAGCAAGTAGGCCTGCAAAAGGGGTGGAAGTAAAAGGAAGCTGGGTTGTGCTTTTGAGGGAGTACGGGGGAGCTGGGTGTGGTACACTAGAAGGCCGGATCGAGGCCTGTCACTTGTCACTCTCTAGCAAGCTCAGAGGTTTTGAGGGCCTGGGCTCTTCTCTCACACACACGTGTGTGTGTGTAGGTGTGTGTGTGTGTGTGTGTGTGTGAGAGAGAGAGAGAGAGAGACAGACAGGGGCACCCATGTTAAAAATATATATATGTAAATATATATATATGTATATACATGTATACACACATATACATATTTACCCACACACAAGCATGTGCGCGCGTGCGCGCGCGCACACACACACACACACACACACACACACACACACGGGTGCCTCTGTCTTTCCGTCTTTCTTGGAGCAAAGATTCAGTGCCTCTTTGTTTACATATTGCTCTGCAGGAGCCTTCTGGACTATTCTACTCCTCGCTTGTTTAATTTTTAGCAGGACTAGATCCAACCCAGGGCCTCACACATGTAAGCTAAGTACTCTGTCACTGAGCTACATTCCGAGCCCTGTGTTTTTTGAGTCATTACGTAGTTCAGGGTGGCCTCCTGTGCACACTCCCGAGTGCCGGGATCACAGGTGTGTGCCACCACACCTGGACACGGATAGATTTCGTTTTTTCAAAAATTGTCAGTTCCTTGAGGCTCCCTGGACTCCTTGGCCGTTAGGGTTGGAGAGGCGAGCTCATTAGTAGGGTCATTTAGTGCAACCCTTTCCCCTCCTTATGTTCTATTTATTTATTTTGTGTGTGTGTGTGTGTGCCATGCTGCACCTGTGGAGGTCAGAGATCAGCTTGTGAGACTGTTTCCACCTGATGGGTTCTGGGGATCACACTGAGGTTGTCGGCCTTGGCAGTGAGTGCCCTTACCTGTGGAGACATCTCACAACCCTTTCCAGAACATTCCCCTGTAAGCAGTCTCCACTGTTAGCAGGGATCTTAAGAAGGAGATTCTTCCCAGAGGTGTGTGTGTGTGTGTGCGTGTGCGTGTGCGTGTGTGTGTGTGTGTGTGTGTAGGGGGGCGTTCAGGATAGAAAGCAAATCACAGCACCTGCTCCCAGTCACCAAGTTGCAGGGATGGCCCTCCTACAAATGCAGCCGCTCAGGGAAGTAGCCCGACTTCCCCGGGACTGCAAGGCCACCAAGGGTGGACTTGTGATCTGAGCAGGGACAGCTGCCTGGATCTCCCCACCACATTGTCCGCACTTGCCACAGGAACTGAGAAATCTAAGTGACTCTGAGAACACAGATCTGGCCATGTTCCTCCTGCACCAATGCCTCGAGACCCCCCTCGGTACTCACATCAGATGGTCGCACGCTATTTCTTTGGCACTGCTGTCCGGCACAGGTCCTGCTGCGGGCTCTTTGGATACCTTCTTTTTATGAGCTGCATCAGAGGGTTAGGTCAACATCACCACGTCCGTCCGTACGCAGTGGACTTTCCCTTTCCCCTCTCCTGTGAACACACTTGTGTCTCTCACAATTTACCCTGAGACTTCCTGTATGGATGGCCCAACAGGCCGAGGCTGTCTCAGTGTATGAGGTCAGGCTTGTGTCCTCTGAGATGACATGTTGACATTTAATCCCCACTGTGAGGTTTAGGAAGGTGGAGGCCGGATCTCACTGTGGTGTTAGAGGTGTAGCTTAGGAGAGACCATCATGGTGGAGCTCGGGACACCAGGGGGACAGAGACCAGACACATTCAGACTCCTTGTCTCTCATTCTTTTCTACCTTCCCCTATTTTTAAAAAAAGAGTCTCATGTAGCCCAGGCTGGCCTGAAACTCACTATGTAGCTGAGGATAACTCAAAACTTCTGATCCTCCTGCCTGTACGTCCCCAGTGCTGAGATTACAGGCATACACCACTAGATCCCATTTATGCGGTGACAGATTGAACCTAGGGTTTTCTGCATGTGCCGCCAGGGCTCCACCAACAACTTTGTACACCCCAAACTGCCTCTTGACAGGTGACACCCTGGGCTTTCTCACAACTCTGCTGGCAAGGACATCACCAGAAGTAGACAGCCCACCTTGAACCTAACCTCCAATTAGACTTCGTTTCTTACTTGTCCACTTGTGGGACTGGGCTGTCAGCAGTACGAAATGGGCTAATACGGCTATGAGCTCTTCCTGACTGGGTGAGGCAGGAGTCGCCAGTGACATTTACAGACAAGGAAGCCATATGAGAATGAGGAAACTGATGGCAGTGGTCCAGCCAAGGTTCAAGAGGTACAGCCTTATTGGTGGGTCATACCACCTACCCTTTTCTCTTTCCAGACAAAAATCCTAAAAGAATTCGTGTTTTTTGGCTTCCCATCTTCCCTGCTTACTCCTTAGTCCGCTTAGTCCTCTGCTTTTCAATTCTTACTCAATTGTTTATTCATTCAACAAACATGTATATAATGCCGGTTTATGCCAGACACTTATCTAAGGGCAGACATGACAAAGATGCTGTCACCCCTAGGTCCCGTGGTGTATCCTCCCTCTTACCTGAATTCTGGGCTAGGGGACAAAGCCTGTTCTGTGCCCTTATTGTGGGGCTCTGCTTACCCCAGGTCACTGTCAGGGCCCTAACTTGGTTACTCACAGGGATAGCGGTTGGCTTGTCTATCATGGATCTCCAGTGCCTAAAGGAAGCTGGGGCATCGTAGATGTGCAAATAGCAGGTGTGTGAGGTAAACCCGAGCTCCGTGTCTCACACTGTAGGCTAGCTCACCTCTGGGGGAACTCTGGCGATGTCTGGAGACACTTGGCCGTGAGGGGGGAGGGAGGAATGAAGCTAGTCATGGAGGTCAGGGATGTAGCTAAAGCAGGCGCCCTGCCCCCAAGCAAAGCTCATCCAGTGCCAAACACCAACAGTGCTGATGCTGAGAGACCTAGGGCCTTAGGCTTCGGCTTCCAGAACTTTCCACCCAGGGCTTAGTGTCTGTCACGAGTGGCCTAGGTCATTTAGGGTGAGAGAGTGGCGTCACTCCAACTGCTGTTTTTAGCTTCTTTGGGTTTATTTTGTAGGAGGCCGGTCATAGCTGCCCAGGAGAGCTTTTAGTAGGGTCACAGTGGCCAGTGGCACAGAGAGGGCCTGGATTGATGTCCTCATGTGCAAAAGACGACTCCATTAATAGCTCTGCCTGCTGCTGTGTGCCTCACCGGTTCACTGGGCTAACATAAAGAATGTCCTAACTCATTGCCATTACTTTGGTTCTGTTAGGCCTTGGAGGGCGTTTAGCATCACGTGCGATGGGGAGCAAAAGGGGCCGACAGAGAGCGAGGGAGCCGTGAGATGGGGCCTAGCCCGGGGCCTCGCAGGAGCCACTGGACGGTGGGTTTCTCCCACAGCCCCAGCCCTACCTGGTTCATTGTCTTTTAACGTCGCAATCTCTCCTTCTATTTTCCTGTGGTGCTGAGTCACTTGGCAGAGCCTCTCCTCCAGGCTCACGATGGTCTGCGAGTGCTGTCTGATTTGTTCTTTGTACACCGTGATTTCCTCCTCGAAGCCGTGCTTCTGGGATTCCCGCTCATCCTGCATTGCCTGCATGGACTGCTGCTGCAGCCTCAGCCGCTCCTCCATCATGATCTGGGGGAACATTGAGGGAGATGCAGCCTTAGGGGTTGGATCAGGTGCAAATAGCAGGTGTGTGAGGTAAACCCGAGCGAAGGTTGGATCCTTCGCCTGCTAAACTGCATCCTACCTGAGAGCCTTGCATGCATGTTCCTGCTAGCATCCTTCACGCTTCCTCCCTGTACCGCTGACCTGTCAGTTAGAGCCAAATCTTCCAGAGTTTGGCTCTCACTAACATTACTGCTTCGGGGAACTTTCCTGGATGTGTGTTCATGGACGAGTCCCCAGTAATTTCTATTTCATTTGTTATCTTCCTCCAGGGACCTTTATCAACACCTGATGTGGTCTTGGTTTCTTGTTTCGCTCCCCTGCGCGTCCCTCAGATCCACATCGCAGAAGCCTTGCCTGCTCTCTTACTGGTCTGCCCACTACACCTAGGCCCAGATGTTTGATGAGAATTAATGACTGTGGTGTGTGTGTGTGTGTTCGTGTGTGAACGTGCATGCTGGAGAGATGGCTCAGCAGTTAGGAGCACCGGCTGCACTTTCAGAGGCCTGGACTCTATTCCCAGCACCCACATGGCGACTCACAGTCATCTGTAACTCCAGTTCTAGGGGATGCAACACCCTCATCTGGTCTCTATGGGTCCCTGGTACACACATGGCACACAGACACAAACACAAACAAAATACCCATACATACAAATAGAAATAAAAGCATCTTTCAAAAAAAGAATTAATGAGCCAGGCAGTGGTGGCGCACGCCTTTAGTCCCAGCACCAGGGAGGCAGATGCAAGCGGATCTCTGTGAGTTTGAGGCCAGCCTGGTCCACAACATCCAGTGCTACACAGAGAAACCCTGTCTTGAAAACCAGAACAAATCAATCAATAAATAAATGAAATTAAAAATTAATGAATGGATAAACAGTTGGATGAGGAAAAAAAGCAAACCAATTTGCATTTCTTGTATGTGTATGTACCCTGTTTGTGGAGGTCAGAGGACAGCCTTAGTGGTCATGCCTCAGGTGCCATCCACATGTATGTACCCTGTGTGTGGAGGTCAGAGGACAGCCTTAGTGGTCATGCCTCAGGTGCCATCCACATGTATGTACCCTGTGTGTGGAGGTCAGAGGACAGCCTTAGTGGTCATGCCTCAGGTGCCATCCACATGTATGTACCCTGTGTGTGGAGGTCAGAGGACAGCCTTAGTGGTCATGCCTCAGGTGCCATCCACATGTATGTACCCTGTGTGTGGAGGTCAGAGGACAGCCTTAGCAGCCAGTCTCTCCCTCCCTGCTTCTGCAATACTTGTCAGCTAAAATCACCAACAAAGGCTCTTAGGAAATCAGCCACCACCTGAGACCACCCTCCCCTTTCTGTGACCACCCTCCACTTTCTGATCCTTCCTGATGTCTCTGCCTTGGCCCCTCCCTCCCTGCCTTCCTAGCTCTTGCTCTCCCTTCCAGAGAGTATGCTGGACATAGGCCTCCCAGCGTCCACAAGTGGGGTATTTTGCAAACTCTCCAGACCCCCAGATTTATTTTACTTAGAGACAGGGTCCTAATCAAGTTGCTTGCTGGTTCTGAGCTCTCTTTGTAGCCCAGGCAGACCTTGAATGTGTGTTTTGCTTTCCTCAGCCTTCAGAGTAGCTGGGATTACAAACCTGTCTCACCCGGTCCAGCTGGATGATCTTTCCCATCAGAGGTGAGTTTTGCCTCTAAAGGACATTTGGCAGTGGCTGCCTCAGCTGGGGGTGGGGAGAGTGCTGTTTACTGTCCATAAAGCATAGGACAGTCCCTGAGAAGAAAGGTACTTGGCCCAGAGTGTCAGTAGCTGGAGGCTGGGCAGGCCTGGTTTCAGCCTTCCCCACATCCGCAATCTCCTGCTACTGTGTCAGAGTCTGGATTTCTATTGCAGTGATGACCACACACCAAAGCACCTTGTGGAGGTGAGGGTTCACTTCAGCCTACCACTCTCAGGTCACCCTCCACCGCTGAGGGAAGTCAGGGCAGGGACCTGGAGGCTGGGGCTGATGCAGAGGCCGTGGAGGGGTGCTGCTTACTGGCTTGCTCCCTAAGGCTTGTTCAGCCTGCTTTTCTTATAGAACAGGGCACCACCAGCCCAGAGGTAGCCCCACCCTCACCACCCTCACCAATCATCAACCACCAAGTGAGCAGGGCCCTCCCCACCAGTCATCAATCACCAATCAAGAAAAAACACCCCAGGCTTGGCTTCCCCACAGGTCAGTCTGGAGGGGGCATCTTCTCAACCGAAGTTCCCCTTTCCCGAATGACTCTGGTTTGTGTGCCAGGCTGATACAGTCCTAGCCAGCACACATTGCAGTCTTCCCCTGGGGAAGCTTGCAGTTTTCAGATCAACCCACCATTTTTGTCTTGGTCTTTTCGAGCTCGGCTACTGTTTCGTCTAACTTGCGGCTCTCGGCTGTCTTCATCCGCTCAGCCTCCTCCACCATGGCCAGGGCGTCATTTAATTTATTATTTAAGATGTCCTCTTTTTGTCCCTTCGATTCTATTTCCTAGACAAACAGCAAACACCAAATTAACGACGCCTGGGAGTCGTCAATATTTACCTTTCTCTCCTTATTCCCCGAGCCGTGAGAGAGGACACAGACCCCAGTCTGTTGATGCTTCTCTAGTCCAAAGCCCAAGGATTTTCTGGAAGGTTCCAATTATTGCAGAGCTGTCTTTTTATCATCAGCAGAGATCTGTCTACTTGATTTCTGGTCTCTGAGCCCAATTCTGTCACCGGGAGCCCTTGACTTGGTGTTATTTCTCTTTTATGAGACAGCCCTTTAAACATTTGAGGAGGGCTGTCATGTCTCTCTTTAAATCTAATTTCCAGTATAAACGTGCTAAGTGCCTTTGCCCTTCATCACATGACCTGCCCTGGGGACACTCTGCTCCCCCTGCACTCCAGGTCCCTGGTCAGAAAGGATCCCAGTTCCAAGTCCTTGGCATAACTATGTCTCCCCTCGAAACCGTCATTCATTTTTATAATAATCCTACTGTCCCCTTGGGGACCTTCTTCCAAGGACTGGAGTATGGGTTCCTGCCAAGCCCTATGCTGAAGTCCCAGACATCATTTTTTTTAATGTGGGTGTGTTTGAGTATGCATGGTTGTATGTGTATGTACAGGGGTGTGTGTGTATGTGTGTGTGGTGAGCGTGGAGGCCCCAGGACAACCTCAGGTGTCATGCTCAGAAATGAGACAGGGTTTCTCACTGGCCTGGTGCTCACCGATTAGGTTAGACTAACTGGCCAGCAAACATCAGGAATCTTTTTGGTTTTGACTCTGAGAGCTCAGGATTTTTAAGTGTGTGTGCTCACTCTAGGAGAGGTATCCAAGGCCAGAGGCATTGAATCCCCCAGGGCTAGAGTTAACAGGCGGTTGTGAGCAGCCCGATGTGGGTGCTGGTAATCAAACTCAGGTTCTTTACAAGAACAATTCATTCTCTTAACTGCTGGGCCATCTCTCCAACTTCCATGCCTGGCTTTTAAAAAGTGGTTTCTGGGGCTAGAACTCAGGTCTTCGTGCTCTCTTCGTGAGCACTTTACCAGCTGAGCTGCGTTCACAGCCCCATGGGATGTAATCTTGAGACACAGTCCTGGGTGCTCTCGCAGCTGCTTTGCTAGTGTGGACCAGGTCATCCTTTCGGGAAGGTCACGTGGGAGCAGGGACCCAGCAGCTACACTCAAAGCACCTTATCCTAAGGAGGGAGAGGTGACACACAGTTGTTCAGCCCAGCATCTTTTGCTTATTTGCTTATTTATTCATTGTTATGATCATCCTTGTTTTTTAATGACAGAGTCTCAACAGCCCAGGCTGACTTTATACTCCTTCTCTGTCTTGGCCTCCTGGGTGCTGGGATTACAGGCACGAGGCACCAAACATTTTCTATACCCATGTGAAGTGGGAAACAACCCCTAGCCTAATGGAGGGAGGGGTCCAGGGGCCTCATCACACAGGGCAGACCCAGGACATTCTTCAGTGGCAGGCAGTGGGAGATGATCAGTGACATGGAGATGTTTGAGAAATTATGTAATGTATCAAAATAATTCCTGAAGCAGTAGGCGTCTTGTGGGGGATAATACTCTGTACAATGTGAGTATGGATTCCTCTCAGTTGGTTCATGAAGAAGCTGCTGTAGCCTATAGCAAGGGACAATCAGGCGAGGCAGGAAAGCCAAACTGTAAATAGAAAGAGGAGAAGGGCGGGACTGGAGATGCCAGCCAACTGATGAACAAGCAGGACATATAGAAAGTGAGGTAACGAGCCACGAGCTTCGTGGTAAAATATAGATTAATAGAGATGGGTTAATTTAAAAGTAAGAGCTAGTTAATAATAAGCCTGAGCAATAGGCCAAACAGTTTATAATTAATGAAAGTTTCTGTGTGATTATTTGGGGCAATGTAGTCGGGACACGAAAGCCCCGTCTCTGTGTAGAGACTATCTTGGCAATGAGTCAGCATCATCCGTGTCTATAGTAACAGCGTACAGGCATCTGAGAGAGCATCACATCATCTGTGTCTATAGTAACAGCGTACAGGCATCTGAGAGAGCATCACATCCCGATGTCAGCAGTGATAGCTCAGCTCCGCAGAAGCAGGGTCAATGTTGAGGTTCTTCTGAGCCATTTTCTGTGTTTGTCAAATATTCTAGAGGAATGGGGCTCATTTGTAATCAGAAAAGATAACAGATACTTTTCTGGAAAAGAAAAATAGCAGCACTACTGTCCCCAGGTTGTCCTGTACTTCCCTGGAAGTCACTGCCTGGTCTCTGTGTCCCAGGCTTTGTGTGAGGTTGGACGTCACATCATGACGGACACTTCATGGGGACAACTGACCTTGCCTAAGAGGACGTAGATACTTGTCACCTGATGCTCAATGGATTCCTCCAGGTGTCCCTGAGAACACAGCACACTTGCTTCTGTACGGCACATGAAACTGGTCTGTGTGTGGTGAAGAGCTGACAGCCATCCTCGGTCCACATCTATAGATTCTGTAGAGACCCCTGTTGGCCATCTTTGCTCCATTCATTCAACACATGGCCAGCTGTTGGCCATCTTTGCTCCACACTCCTAAGTCTAGAGAAGACTCATTGTTGACCATCTTCACCCCACACCCACTGGGATGGGGCTATTTTTCTTCTGTATTTTCTCTCTTTTATCTGTTTGCCTGTGTAGATGACATCAACTTTTTTTTTTTTTCCGACATGGTGTCTATGTAGAGTCTTGGCTGACCTGGAGTTTGCTCTGTAGACCAAGCTGGCCTCAAACTCAGAGATCCACCTGTCTCTGCTTCCCGAGATTAAATGTGTGTGCCACCGCCACTACCACCGTGGCCAGTTTGGCATTAACCTTTTGATCGCTCTATTGTGAATACAAATAAACTTGTGTGCAAACAGCCACCCTAGGTCTGAGTAGTTGTTTGTTTGTTTTTTTGAGATAGAGCCAGGGGGGAGCTGAGGCTGGTTTTGAATTCCCTCAGGATGACCTTCAAGTCCTGATTAGCCCACCTCTACCTCCCAAGTGCTGGAATTACAGGTGTATGCCATCAAGTCAGGTTTATGAACTACTGGGGATGGAACCCAGGGCCTCGATCACGCTAGGCGAACACTCTACCAGCTGAGCTCAATGCCTTCAGTAATTTTTCTGAAATTGGCTTTGGAGTTTTCACCTTCCATGTATCTGCTAGTTTTTAAATCTTCCTTTTGAAAACAATGTCTATTCAGGGGGCTGGAGAGATAGTTTAGGGGCTAAGAGTCCTGGCTTCTTTCCCAGAGGGCCTGAGTTTGATTCCCAGTGCCCATATGGTGGCTTGCAACCATCTCTAACCCCAGAAATGCCCTCTTCTGGCTTCTGTTGGTATCAAACACATACAGGTAAAACACTCATGAATACATAAAAAATAAAATAACATTTTTTTTTAAAAAGAAAGAAAAATGTCTATTCAGGCCAGGTGCGATGGTGCCAGCCTGTAATCCAGCTACTTGAAAGGCTGAGAGGCAGGAGGATGATGGAACTGAAGCCTGCCTGGATTACATAGTGAGTTTGAGGTAAACTTGGGCAAATAAGTGAGACCGCATTTCAGAAAAAATAAAACAAAGTTGGATGTAGCTCAGCGGAAGATGCACACCTGGCCAGTGTGTGTGAGGCCCTGGGCTCCATTCCCGGGCACCATAACACCAAACAAGCCAGTCTGTTGGGTACCTGTGTGTGTTGCTGTTGGGTCACTGAATTCCTCAGATGGTTTAGAGATTAACCAGACCTGCGTCTGGAAAGTATTTCCTGCCCAATCTGGGGGTTGCATCTGCACACCGTTTCCTCTGCCGGGTGGAAGCTTTTAACTTGTCCATTTTTGCTTTTTGTTTTGGGTTTGGGGTGGGTGGGTGGGGTTGGTCTGCAGGATCCAGGCCAGAGTCACACAATGTTTGCTTTGCAGTTGTGTGCTCTGTCCTGGTGCGTGGTAGGTCCCTTTGTATGGTGGGGAGGGGTGTCACTGCTTCTCCTGATGTGTTTGCTGTCACTGGCCAACTCTGACAGCCACTGGTGGAGGAGCTCTTTGGGGTTGGCATCTGGAAGGGCTTCGTCCTCCATGTGCTGGCCTGCCATTTGGCTGTGGGCTTGAACGCAGGGTCTTGCTAGGCAAGCACTGTATCTTTGAACTCTATCTTTCTCTCTCTCTTTCCTTTTGATTTTGAGACAGGGTCTTAGCAAGTTTCCCAGCTAGTCCCAAGCTCGCTTTGCAACCCAGACTGGTCTTGAACTCCCTTGCCTCCTGAGTAGCTGGGATTGCAGGTTTACACTGACAGCCCTGTTGTGCTTGCTCTGTTTTTGTGTAGTGACTGCACGACCAGTTTTTCCTTGCCCTGAAACTGCTGGAATATATTGTAGTTTGTGTATTGATTCATGACATACTTTTCAAAAGGTTTTACTTTTATTTCATGTGTATGGGTATTTTGCCTGTCATTATGTCTACACACTACCGTGGAGACCAGAAGAGGACATTGGATCCCCTGGAAGTGGAGTTATGGGTGGTTTGAACTGTCATGTGGTGACAGGAATCAAACCTGGGTTCTCGGTAAGAGGAGTCAGTACTCTTAACTGTTGAGCCATCTTTCCAGCTCTGATACACACATGTGTGTGTGTGCGTGTGTGTGGTAAGTCTATGTATGTATATGTGTACACATATATAGATGTATATATGTGTACATTATGTATATATTTACATGAGTCCCATTACTAGCTTATCTTCTCTTCTTTACCCACTCCTGACTGACTTATCCCCCCCACCACCACTTATTGACTCATCCTGCAGCATTCCAGGGTGCAGTATTTGGGAAACAGAGTAGAGACAGCTCCTGTGGTCTGAGCTCCAGGCCCCAACGTGGGAGTGTGGCAGCCCCGAATTCCTGGGCCTTGCCGGCCTCTGCCTCTTCTGGACACCCATCCGTCAGTTAAGGCCTCCCATCCGAGTGGGGCTCGGAGCAGCTGTGCCATCCTGAGAGCTTTGCTGACTTTGTTTCTCCTTAGGTGGCGGCGTTCAAAAATGCTCTAGAGTCATTTGGGTAGCTTGTTGAAAAGACAGATTCCAGCCGGGCAGTAGTGGCACACGCCTTTAATCCCAACACTCAGGAGGCAGAGACAGGCGGATCTCACAGAGGGAGTCCCAGGACAGCCGGGTCACACAGAGAAAACGTGTCTCAAAAAAACAAAGACACAAACAAACAAAAACCCCTGATTCCAGATCCACCCTATATCCAGGGCACTCAAAACACATGCACAACAATGTGTGGGTGCCTGTGTTTAAAGAAAACCACACAAAATGGAGGCATAGACACCCTTCTTAGGCCAGTGGACCCAGGAGATCCTTTCAATATAAATTTAACTCACAATTGCCAGGTTGGGTGTTGCTCACCTACTTTGACTAAGATATGGCCAAAGTGTGTGTGTGTGTTGTGTGTGCTTGCACACTCACGCACACGGGCATGTGTCTGTCACACATCGGGGACCCAGGACAAGCGAGTATCTGCAGTTTTTGAGGGGTGTGCAGCCACCTCCTCTTTACCCATCGAGTCAGAACTGTGGGTCTTGACAGAAATGCATTTTAGTTTGGAAGGTAATGACTGCTATGACAAGCTCTGCCAAGAAAGGGACACGGAAATGCCTGGATGTCCCCTCTCTGTCATCCCTGCCTTACCCTACACAAGGCTGAAGTGTAGTGGCAGGGGTAGGTAAAGATGAACGGTTTGGGAGTTCTGGGTTCGGATCCTGCCCCCACCCCCACACTTCTGAGCCAGGAGCTGACGCATGCAGCATGAGCTGCGTGTATCTGTTTGTGTGCTATAGTCAATGTTGTGTCCCGTCACTGAATGAAGCTGACTGTATTTCACATGTGGGAACACCAGGGCCCAGAGGCGGTGAGTAACTTCCCTAAAGTTGCACAGCAGAAGAAGGATTTGAACCTGGCTGCCTGGCTGCAGGGCCTGACGGGGTCCGCGGGAGCCATACCTCTCTTTGCTTGGTCAGGCGGTTCTCCAGGTCCTGGATTCTCCTCTTTTCCTTCTCCAGGGTGTCTCGCATTTTGAGTCTCTCCGAGGTGATGCTTTCTGCTATCTGGGAGTCAAAGAGGGATTTGAGGGTGCGAGCAGAAGAGAGGGGGTGGTGGTTTGAATAAGAGCCCCTCCCTGTAGACTCACAGGTGTGGCCTTGTGGGAGGCCCAGTCTCCTGCTCTCTGCCTTCGGATCTAGCTGTAACTCTCAGCTACTGCTCCAGGACTGTGGCGAGAGCTGCCATGCTCCACCATGCCTCCCCCCCACCCCGTGTTGATCCCCCCATGATGATAATGGACTATAACCCCTTGAAATCGTAAGCAAGTCCTCAATCAATCATTTTCTTTTTTATAAGGGCTGTCTTGGTCATGGCGTCTCTCCCCAGCAGTTGAACCCGTGACTAAGATAGAGGCGAACTCACTGCAGGGGAAGCCAAGGCGAGTCACCACTGAAACCAGTGACTCGGACAAGAACTCAAGGAACCAGGTGCCTGCCTGGATGAGGTGAGAGGAAGTGAGGAGGCTGGGGAGCAGGAAGCCATGTCTCAGTCCCAGGAGGATAAGGAAGGAGGGGCTCCTTGTTCCTGGTTTCCAGGCTGGCGTTAGTCACGAGTGTTCAGCCCCGTCACTGGGTGCGGAGCCACTGTCTGACCTGGTAGGTGTGTTGGCACCAGGCCAGGTTCACCCTGGAAAGTCCCTGGCTTTTGGGAGGCGGAGCGGAGAGGCGCTGCTTGGAGCGTGTTTCCTGTTCCAGCAGGCACAGCTCCTGGGAGCTTCAGAGAAGGGCTGTGCACACTTTATGTACAGTGACTTTTTCCCACAAAGAGATAACTTCAATTCCCATTTCTCAGGGTCCCCGGAGGGGTCTGAGCTCCAGGGATCCTCCCTGGCTGGCTAATGAGTGGCAGGTGGGGGCCACTTCCTGCAGAAGTGCAGCAGCAGGACCAAGGGACTGCGGGGCTGTCAGGCACACCTGGCTGCGTGTCTTCTTGGAGGGAAGGAGGGCCCTGGCTGCTCTTACCTCCTTCTGCTGGGTCAGTTGGTTCTCCAGGTCTTGTGTCTTCCTCCTTTCTGCCTCCAGCATTTCCCGCACTTTTCTTTTCTCACGGGCCACACTGTCCTCCAAGACCTGAAAGGTAGGGCCAATAATATCAGTATCCGAGTTAAGGCTAGCAGCTAAGATGGCCTTATGTTACCCTCAGGATGACCTCACCCCTATGGTACTACCATGGAGCTGCTGCAAGGATCTTTTTTTTTGTTTGTTTGAGAAACGGTTTCTCTGTGTAAAACAGTCCTAGCTGTCTTGGAATTCACTCTGTAGACTAGGCTGGCCTTGAACTCACAGAGATCTGCCCAATTCTGCCTCCCAAGTGCTGGAATTAAAGGCATGCGCCACTGCCACCAGACTTAGGATCTCTTTTAACAGACAGGGAACCAGGGGCCAGAAGAGGTGTGGGCCACACTGTCTGTCAACAGGGAGGCCAGGGTCCCGAACACAGAAAACACACAGACCGTGTTCAGAGGCTCTGGGAGGATACCAGCACGCAGAGGGGCCCATATTCTGCGGGAGAAGAATCCCATTGATGGTGGACTCTCCAACTAGTGGAGCTGATTTCTGAAGATTTGGTCTCAGAAGGATGGAGGTATGGGCATGAATGAGCCTGTCGCTGTAAGGACATAAAAGTTTTTAAAAAGCTTTGCTTGGTCAGGAGCTGGTTAAGACACAGGCCTTGAGCTCTTTGCGGCATCAGGAGTTAGCTGAAAACAGGAATCTTTGCAAAAGTGCAGACCAACTGTCCTTAGTAGTTAAGTTCCCTGTTGACACCCAGCTTTGTGGTCTAGACGGGAGCAGAAGTAACTGCTTGGGGGGAGGGCGGGGGGCATGAACAGAAGTAGAAGGAGTCCATACCCTGTGCTCAGTAAAACCAACCCCCTTGACCCTGAGTAAACCTGGCTTGCGGTTTTTGCCTATATATGTCAACCCCAAATGAGGAACGGGAGCTCTCCCTACTACACTGCATTCACATGTAATGGAGAACACCCAGCTAGCTGGGAAGAATTAAACCTTGCTTTTGCATTCTGGACTTGACTGGATTCTGGTGGTCTCTCTGGGGGTCTCTCAACTTGGGCACAACGTGAGCCTGTCACCACCTCCTAGAAAGTTGAGAATGAGCCTTGCAGGTATGTGCTAGGACAAGGGAAGAGCTCTGGGTTAGTACCCTGCTGACCCTAGCCACAGAATTTCATCTGGTCCGTTTCTTGCTGTGGCCACTCTGCTATTGGACTCGCTGCAGATTCCACTGCCAGAGAATCTGAAATCCCAAGAAAGGTCGTCTCAGCTTTCACTCCGTAGCTGGACTTCGGGAACTTGGAACTTGCAGTATGATTTTCACTAGAGTCTACAAGGCGGGGTGGGGGGGTGGGGATTAGCATTCAGAGGCATCTGATCCACAGGAGAAAGTGAGGAGGTACACAGAGACAGTTGTATGTGGTTCATTCCCATGATCCCAGCACCTGGAGGTAGAGGAAGGATGATCAGGAGTTTAAAGGTCATCCTTGTCTGTACAATGAGTTTGAGGCCAGCCTGGGCTAACAGATCCTTTGTCAAAACAAAACCAAACAACAACCAGCAATCAAAAAACAAAACCAAAATCCCAAGAAACAAATGAACAAAACACCCCTGGTGGTGGCTTAATCCTTTCTGGGAAGAAACTAGGGCCAGGCCTTGTCAGAGTAACAGACTGCTGTAACTAAGCCCAGCTGACCTCTGCATGATGCTTACATTTTTTTTTTTTTTAAGGCGAGTCTTGTGCTGTACTGGTTGGTCTACAACTCCGCATGTAGACCAGGCTGGCCTCAAACTCACACAGATCCACCTACCTCTGCTGTCTGAGTGGAGATTAGAGGTGTGTATCACCACACCTGACCCAGAGGCTTCAATTTTTCTGACTTGCTCCGTCACTTTGGAATCTCTAAATTCAAGGGCCTGGCCAGCCCTTGTTGACTCCTGGTTGGCATCTGACTCAAGTGACTCCATGGAGACCCCACCCCCACCCCCTCGCTCTGCCTGGAGACTCAAAGGCAAACCTTGGAGACACTGTTTACAGAGCGCTGAGGAACAGCTGGGTGAGAGACCACGTGTAAACATCTCCCTGGGTTACATCAGACTGTTTGGGCAGACTTGCATTAGGGGGCTACTTTCTCTCTGGTGGAGGGCAGACAAACACTCTACTTGAGGAGGGTGGGTTGTCAGGAAGCCGGGTGGGGGGCGGGGAAAGGGAGTGGGGACAGGAAGGGGCTCTGCCCTAGTGCCAGGAGACCTGGCTGTAGTGATAAAGACAGCAGCCATCACTGATCCGTGACACGGTTGGGTCAAATGCTTGGTTGTTCATTATCTCTGACCTTCCTGGCTCCCTTCCAAGAAGGGAGGTGTGGATAGACTCAAATTGGCGTCTCCTGTGGCTGCAAAGCCTGCACCTTCAGGCCTGAGGCATCATTGAAAGCACGTGTGTGAAAGGACCAGGGCTCTGAGACTGGCGACCAGCTAAGTGAACACTGGCAATGTAACAGAGGTTGCCGGTGGGTTAGAGTTTGGGCACATCCACAGAAACACAGCATCCTTCACGAGGAGGAGGAAAAGCCTTCCTCAGGTGTCTGAGGCCGGAGGATGGCATTTGGTTCTGGCTACTGCACTGTAGGGAGAGGGCAGGTGATGAACTGCAAAGAGCAAAGCTTATGAGAGGGTAGGGCCCAAAGGACGACCCGGCTGCTGCTGCTGGGATGAATTTCATTCCCCTGCGCCCTCTTCCTCCACAGTGAAAACGAGGGCCCGAGCTTTTTGACTTTCCAAGAGAGAAGGGAAATCTGGATTTTCAAATACATTTTAGGAGTACAAACCAAAACATCCTAGGTACGACACATCTGCAGGCCATTTCACCTACTGAACTTCAGCTCAGTGACTTCTGGAGCACAGAGCGGGCATGGGAAGGCCATCCAGGCCAGACTCCTAGCCCGCTGTGCATGGGGATGGGGTGGAGTGGGGCGGCAGTGGCTGGGAAGGATGTAGGAGCTAGTGCCTGACTTTTAAACATCTAGACAGCTGTGTGGAAGAGGAAGCCTGAGGCCTGAGATGGGTTGATGACCACCACCTTTTGACCCGAAAGGGCGTGACTCACCCCAGCCTAAGAAAGTTCCTGCCAGCCCTGGGTATCCCTCCGTCCAGGGCCGAAGACTTCTGGGTACTGGTACTGAAGATGCATGAGTTTAGGATGTGGTTGAATCATCCTCTCAAGATCCTGTCACTCCACATTTGATGTTTCAGAGCATATAGGACACGTGCAACTGGACCCCAACCTGTGTCAGCCTGCACTCTGTCACCCATGAGACAGAGCCTTTGTGCTATAACCTTAGCTGGCCTCAAACTCACAGGGACCCTCTCAGCCCTAGTGAGAGGGTGACGGGCAGGAGCCACCATGCCTGGCTCACAGGGACCCTCTCAGCCCTAGTGAGGAGGGGTGACGGGCAGGAGCCACCATGCCTGGCTCACAGGGATCCTCTCAGCCCCTAGGGTCAGGGTGACGGGCAGGAGCCACCATGCCTGGCTCACAGAGATCCTCTCAGCCCCTAGGGTCAGGGGTGACGGGCAGGAGCCACCATGCCTGGCTCACAGGGATCCTCTCAGCCCCTAGTGTCAGGGGTGACGGGCAGGAGCCACCATGCCTGGCTCACAGGGATCCTCTCAGCCCTAGTGAGAGGGTGACGGGCAGGAGCCACCATGCTTGGCTCACAGTGCCCCTCTCAATCTCCTAGTGTCAGGGTGACGGGCAGGAGCCACCATGCCTGGCTCACAGGGATCCTCTCAGCCCTAGTGAGAGGGTGACGGGCAGGAGCCACCATGCCTGGCTCACAGGGATCCTCTCAGCCCCTAGTGTCAGGGTGACGGGCAGGAGCCACCATGCCTGGCTCACAGGGATCCTCTCAGCCCCTAGTGTCAGGGTGACGGGCAGGAGCCACCATGCCTGGCTCACAGGGATCCTCTCAGCCCCTAGTGTCAGGGTGACGGGCAGGAGCCACCATGCCTGGCTCACATCTCCATGGCTCTCTTCCAAGTCCTCTTTGCTTCTCCCAACTGCAGAGCCCAGGCCAGGACAAACTGCACAGGACAGCCCCGCTGTGCTCCACCCCTCTTCTCTCTCCCGCAGTCCCTTTAGCCAGCCAACCTCCCGGAGCTGGGGTGTACCTCCTTTTGACAGGCCAAGTGGCCTTCCAGATCACGAATTCGAGTCTGTGCCTTCTCCAGGGCCTCCTGTGCTCTGTGTTTCTCCTGCGTGATGCTCTCCTCGAAAGCCTGCAAGCCAACAGCTGTTGTGGAGTCCACCTGTTGCCATGGCAGGACGTGGACTCTCCCTGGGCTCTGCCTGGTTTGTGCTTCCATTCTGAGCAGGCTCCACCGGGCCCAGGGAAGAGGAACCAGGGCTCAGTGGGCTCCAAAGAAGCAGGTCTGTGTGAGAGCCTCAGATGGACCCTGACAACTGTAGACCCATACTCAACTATGGGCAGACTCAACTCCCCCGCTCGGAACTGCTTACCTTCTTCTGGTAGGTCAAGCGACTCTCCACCTCTCTGGCTTTCATCTGCTCCCCCTCTAGAGCCTCCTTCGCTCTGTTTTTCTCTTGGGCAATAGCTGTCTCCAGGGCCTGCAAGTCAAGGACCCTTGTTAGACAGACCTGGAAACCATGGCAGGAAAGTGGACTCTGCCAGGTTCTGTCTTCAGTCCTTATCACACCCGAAGGAGAGTGTGGGCAGCAGAGTCTTTGGGCTGGAGCACAGGGTTTGGACTGGGAGTGTGGGCAGAGTCTATGGGCTGGAGCACAGGTTCTGGAGTGTGGCACAGGCCAGGTGAGAACCTGGATGGACTCTTCCCAGCTCTGGGCCCTAGCAGCTGAGACTCTCTGCATAGAAGCCTCAGTTTCCCTATCTGTACAATGAGATCAGTACTAATGTTTCCTGCCTTGGGCTGATGTGAGAAAGGGATGCTGAAATGATCAGGGTGAGATTCTTGGCACAGTGACAGCCTCCCGCCTCTGTGCTGCGGGGGGCGGGGATACAGACTTA